ACCAGGTAAAGACCAGGTAAACAAAATCGATCACGTTTGTTGAACATGCAGTCTTGAGGTGCCAGTTACTGTAGTAAAACAGTAAAAACAACTATTCAAACTAAAAAAATTTCCATTAAAAACGACCATTGCGTTTGAACGGAAAGAACAGCTCATATAAAATTTTAATATTATTTACGCCGACATAGAATCCTATTCAGACATTTAATTAAACTAGCTATACCATGAGCCGGAAAAGGCGTGTTTCCATCCCTTTAACTTATTTGTTTTCTTTTGTTACTAAACAAAAACAACATTTTCCACGAGCTAAACTCGCAGCCACACATCACACGATCTACAGTAACCTGCGCGCGATCAGGTGTTCTGTTTTTTAAGAGGGAGCGTGAAAGTCGTCTCCCAAAGAAAACTAAAAGAAGAACAGCTTGATCGCGGGTTTGATCTACACTGCTTGATGCTAATTAAAACTTTCCTGTCGAGACATCAAACATACGACCTCTTCAGTGATTTTTTTGAAAGTAACGTTTCCATTGCTTATAGACTTAGTCAAATGTTATTTTAACTTCGATCTCTAAAAACAAAAAAATACAACCAAAAGGAAATTACTTCTGACCTTGTCAGAACAGTTAATAAGACTGTTTACTGGGATTGTAATGCGAAAACAAGACATTTAAGGGACACGTTTTCCGTTTCAACTAGTGCTGGGTTCTTGATAAATCAGAAAAGATCACATTGCGGAAGCCGATGATCGCAATCTAACCGGTCTGTCGTCCGCTTTTAATATGGCAAAATAAGGTAGCTAGAAAAATGTTAGAGATGCAACCAAAATGAAAAATAGAAAGGATAAAAAAAAATTGATTATGTAGCTTGCGTGGCAGGCGTTCGAAAGGGAGGGGGTGGGCGGAAGCAAAATTCTAACCCGCGTAGGAAGTACCCCAGGCACAAGAATTCCGCCAGCTACTCAGGCTAGTAAAATTCTGGAGTATTGTAATCTAAGACTGCAGTGGACCCAAAATTGAGAAGAGAAATTTTTCTACGTGTTTCTTTAGGCGCCTAAAACAGCATGTTATAATTGTTTTGTTTTGTTCAACCACTTAGCTGTCATATTGATGACAGATCTCCGCAGGACTGGGTTCTTGGCAGAGCTGCATTAAAACATTGACATATTTTCAACCTTACTCACCGTCGCTTCTTCTCTAGCAAAAAAAGTTTCTTCGATCTTTTAGCTAGAGAATCAAGGCTTCGATACATTAAACACAGCCAGAAAGAAAGATTTTAGTATTCGGTTAACAATTCAAAGGAAATTTTCAGAAGATTCAAAATATGCGTAGTAGGCCAGGTAACGTAATTTTTACTCGTCAAAGATATCAAAAGGAGTTTCTGCCGGCTGGAATACAATTTTATGATTCTTTTAATTTCCAAGCGACTGAAAGTGAGCTTTAAAAGTTAATTAATCTTTTTTTAGCCAGTCCGACAGCACACCGTGTTTTTATGCATGTTTTGATGCAAACAGTTGGTCAAGCTTTGTCTTCTACCTGTGTGAAACTTCTTTTGCTGAAAATTACATGCAAGGCACAATATTCTCTAAGAGAAATAAACCTTTCTAAGGATCTTCCCGCTCTCAAAAAGAAGTAATGTTGTACGATGCCTGTTTTTACAAAGGACCTTTAAAAATGTTTGCATTTCACGGTTGAAAGTCATGAATATGAAACTCCTTTTAAAGAAATTTGGCATCACAGCGTACAAAAGCTTCACAGCATTTATTAAGATAGTTTTAAAACACTGTTAATTAATTAATTTTGAAGTCATTCACAGGACCAAGGTAAACAAATGTATGCGCTTAATTGCTAATGACAAGCGTCAGTTAATGTTGTGCAAGAAAAATACTTTAATAATTCTTAGAGCTAGAAAGAATTTTTGGTCTCAGTGGGTTTACAAGTACTTTAATACATCACGTCGTGTTTCGCTGCATCACAAAGAATGTTTCCTCATTTGCATCTCAAAACTCAAAACTAAACAAACATGAGTGAAGCCTCAGTGAAAAACATCCGGCAGGCGCTTTAATGAAATCGCTGAGAGACCTTCTAAACTTACGTCAATATCTTTTGAAGCAAAACACTTCTGTTTTGTTGGCGAAAAGACAGAGAAAGCATGATTAGAAATAGATGGAAAAGAGCAAACACGAAATGGTTTGTTAATCCTTTTATTCCACAAATGGGCAAACATAATTAAGACAGGCTTTGTTAACCGAGTACCCAAGAGACTTGATGTATAAAGTGACGAAGATTTCGTTCATGATACAAACAGTAATTACAAATAAAAACTTGAAATCTGTGCACGAAACAGTCAATATTTGACATGAGTTCATAGCAACTGACAAGTAAATGAATATCCGCACGCTTTTTCCTGATGAAAATTGAACCTTGTTATGAAGTTTCCATGTTATAAAGCAACTAGCTAGCACGAGCACCTAATTGCTATGTTGAAATATACATATGTTTGACTTCATTCCACAGACAAAGCTAAACAAAAAATGTTGCATAGTAGATGAAACTTATAACTTAAGACCACAAAATATTTTTACTCTCAATTCTATTGCAATCTGAGCTAAGTGAATTCTGTGCGTGGTTCTCCATCCCGGCCGTTCTACATCAGTGAAGCTCTATGTTTTGGTGTACAGTATTGCACGCTCGACACCTCGACACTGCATATGCTCTTTAATGAAAAGCCCTTCTTTTATAGCGATACACAACAACGAAAGCTCTTAGGTATTACAAGAAAGGCGAAATCTTCCGTAAGGAAAGCTTGGTCCATATCTATGACGACAAAATCGACTCGAACAAGGCCGGCCGGCAAACACATGCAGCCGAATTGGATGCAAGCCAACGCAGCTCGCCTTTTTCTGATTTTATTCGTCAGAATACTTCAGTTAAAAGTCCCAAGTCTATACAGGTTGAATGAAGCTTGTTTCAAGGTGCATGATAAAGCATACTGACGCTTTCCACATTTACGTAATGTGAACTGAGGTGAGCTTAAGTTTCTACTAAAAGAATGCGTGAATTGCACCTCGCATAGAGTGTTTACTTTGTGTAATTAACACTATACAAGCTTACCTCTGCTAAAGCTGTTCTTTCTCTTTACTTCGCCGTGGATACAGGCATTTCTAGGCATGGTAAAATCGTCGTAAGAACGACGCCGACGACTCGGTGAGCTGAAGCTATTCATCTGTTTAAAATACGCGCCATGAAGGCCGCCATCTTTGATTTTTGGAGATGCCTACCCAGCATTCCGCACGACCCCACAAGGTCGCGATATGTCATCAACCAGCGGGGTAGTCTCCCTCGCAGCCGTTTTTTTTGGGTGTCACGCAACGCCAAAAGACGGCTGTAAAGGAGACTACCAGCTGGGTGGGGGGAAAGTTTAATACTTCCCATATATTCCAAACCATGTTCTCACAACAAACAAAACCGTGGATCAATCAGGTTCAACTAACGTAACTTGCAACCCGAAAAAAGAAACGCCTGATCTTCTAACGTAAGGTCTGCATCGATCGAAATTCAAAATCATCAACTTTAGTTTTGTTTGTTTAAAAGCGCTGCTCACCTCTCAGCCGAAGAAAGACCCCAACAATTTCCGGAAATGTCCGACTAAGTGGCCGACCATTTGACTTTTGATCGGGGGCAGGGGAGGGGCGGGGGGGTGATTTCAGAAAAAAATATATATCTCCTGCAGTCTGATTTGAGATGGAAAAAAATTATTGCAAACTGGCAATGAGACAATTGAAATGTAGTGAAATGTAGAGAAATGTAGAGAACCAGGAGACGTAATCTTGTCAGAAAATACTTTATTTAACTTTTTTATACAAAGCTCCATATTAAATATATTTTAAGCTCGGGCCATGATTTTGTACTTTTCTTAAAATGAATAATGTTCTCTATTACATAGAGTACTCCTTTAAGGTCAAACAAAAAGCATGCAATACTTCACATAACTAACAAGGGCCGCTTCTCTTTTAAGCTACTAAAGATAAGGTAAGCAACAAGAATTCATTTGATTTTTTGTCTAAGACCAAGAAAACAAATTGTTAGAGTATAAGTAACCAACTAGACCTTTCCCGCATTCCACTCGAGGTCGAGGCTCGGATAGACAATTCCATACAAATCACCGTTTTTTGTCCACCTGAGCCTTGACATGATGCCTTTATTTACAGAAATGCATAAAAGGTCTATTCGCTATTTTCACATAGACTATAATGCACCTTGTTTACCCCCCCAAATTTTGCATAACCACTGTTTCCAATTTCTCCTAGGTAACACAGTCGTCCCAAGAGAAATTGAAGACAACGGTTATGCATTTTTTTTTGGGGGGGGGGGGGTGGTGGGGGGGGGGGGGGTAAACTAGGGGCATTATGGTCTATGGGAAAATAGTGATATATGGAAATGAGACTAAAGTTGCCCTCGTTTTCATACAGCCCTTCCACGTAAATAATGTTGTTTATTAACTAACTAGTATATTTCAAACATAATAAACACAAAAAAATAATAAAATCCACAGTTTACTTTGTAGATCATATCAATCCTACTCTTTTTGTCCCCCCCATTTTTTTCACCGCGCCTTCTCTCAATTTCCCCTTGGTATGAGCGCTCCGCAAAAGAAAAATGTGGAATAGGTTTTTGTTTTTTTTTGGGGGGGGGGGGGGGGGGGGGGGGGGGTGGTGGGAGTAAACTAGGGGCATTATGGTCTATGTGAAAATAGTGATATATGGAAATGAGACTAAAGTTGACCTCGTTTTCATACAGCCCTTCCATGTAAATAATGTTGTTTATTAACTAACTAGTATATTTCAAGCATAATTTTCATAAGAAAACAAAGGAGGTTTGTATCAAAACAAGGTCAACCTCAGCCTCACTTTTACTCAAAGGCTAGGCAACTCAGCCTACAACTGCAAACTGTAAAAGGCATAACTCAGGGGTGGTATAACTAGTGCTTCGTCCATCTTATGGCAATGGTTATATAGATCTAAGCAACAACATCAAATGTTTAGCAAGGAAACTTACAAACATTCAGCAAAATAAAAATTTAAATTTTTTTTTTCTCTCTCCAGTGAGTACTTCGTGATAAAATAATGATGGTATCTGGTCACAAAAACGAAGTAGTCAACCAGAGTTATTTCAAGGGAGGAGTGGAAGAAATGCTAGTGCAGTTTATTCAAGTTTAACAAACCCCCCACTGCCAAAAGGCACTACAACTGGTTGTAATCTGGTACAAAAGCCTTAAAATGGACTAAAACAAGCTCGTAACCACGTTGTCTTTAAGGACCTTACGATTCGAAAACAGCGACGTCCATGAAAATAGACTTTATATCCTTTCAGACTATTTCGCGATTATCCCAAGTCGTCCTGTTAGTTAAAAGAAGGGAATCTACCGCACCACAGTTCAGACAGAGATGGTAAAATTTATCGCCTGGCCGTTCCCGTCCTCAAGTAAACTTAAAATTTGGTCATTTAGAGTCGATTTGTGCGAGGACGTCAAAGAAATGCACAAAAAACGCGTGATGCACGTGCAGAGTTATTGTTTTGCGCATTAGACCCATTACTTTTTTTGGCGTTCCCGTTGCCGTCGTAGTTTCGTAAAGTCCCTTTTACTGTCAGTACCAACAACTACTCCCAATTTTATTCGCAAGTATTGTATTGGATAGTTGTTATAAATTGCTTTCTGTTCCTTGTTCGTTAGTTTCGACCGTTAATACCTACCGTAGATGGAAACATAACTTCGAACGAGTAAGATTGGATAAAACCGTTCGCAAACCAGACAAATGGTCCTCTTAAAGGAACCAGCGTTCGAGTGTGTCGCTAACATTCCACGATATCTGGTCCTTCGAGCCCGACTTAAGCTACCAGTTATCTCGAATACACAGCCCTGACATAAGCAACTACAGTCTAAGAATTTCTGTTTCGCTTTTCCATGGTCCGACTAGAAAACATTTCCCGAGTTCACACAAGCTTTCCAGTTCTTTCTAAACACTTATTTCATAATTGTATAACGAGCATTTGAGCATTAGAGAAAAGAGAAATTTTAAGAGGAAAATGCTGTCCTTTTCAGAGCTGTATGTATAACCAACACTTAACAGAAACCAAACGTGCGTCTGTAACTATGATAAAAATCCTGAGATACAGTTCAGTAGTGTGCGATTTCTAATTATACTAAATTCTAGCAAATGGAAGTTGTAGCACAGAGTGAATGTTAACATCTTACCACAGTTGAATGATTCCCATGACTTGCAGCTACACAGCTCAAAACTAGTTTCAAAATATTCCTGTTTATAGCAAATGTTGCTTTAACGCAGTAAAAGGCCCCAAAATCATGTTTGTTTACCATTTAAATGTCTGCATAAGTTTCATCAGGAAAGTACGAGCGAAATATTTACAATCGTGTCTTTTTTACATAGTATAGACAATACTCTGTTCATTGATCATTGAGTGGAATAAGTGCCAGGTTTATCCTCCGCATGGAGAAAACAAATACATAAAACATCACATACGTTTGTTGGCCAAGGTTAAACTGCACTGCCCGTAAGGTAGTTATTCCCTCTCTTTAGTAAAATGCACTGTAAACTAACTTTGATATAGCTTCTTCTTTGTCTCCTTGGTTTACGGTCGTTTCGCCAACGAGTCGTTGCGCCTACGTCCTGTTCGCCAACGTCTTAAACCGTTTCGCTAACGTGTTAGGTCGTCTCGCCAATGTGTTATAATAACATCTTCTCGTTGGCGAAACGACCGGTCACCGTCTCCTTGTACCCTCTTTATCTTAGACGAAGGTCACCCAAGGAGGAGTCGTGATTTTGATTGAAAGGTCCTCCAAATAAAGACTGATCCCTGTCAAATGGGGAAAGAAAGGGATCATCAGAGTTGTCAAGGTCACTGTGACGCGGATACGTTGGTCCCGGATGCTTTATTTGACCTTGAAGGAATGATGGACTCGCGGGGCTCAGTGTTGGCGATGTGATGTGTGACTGCTGAAAGTGCGAGGTTCTGTCAAATGTGAACACATTGCCTAGAGTCGTGTGGGGTGAGATATGAGGGGATATTGAAGTTGGGGAGAAGGGTGGTGATGCTAATCTTGATAATCCAGTTTGTGTTGAATTTAGGGGTGATGAGAATGAAGATGCAGCAGGCGAAGTGTTTGTTACAATCGCAGACCAGGTTCTCGGTGTAGGAGATAACATGGCATCCATTGTCATCGGCGGAGAGTGAAGATGACCAGAGGTCACTCCATTGCTGTGTTTCTTCAGCTCGTTGCTTCCAAGAAGTCCGTGTGGTGGAGAAAACATGGGATCTTTGTTAAGAGCAAGTTGTTTAATTTTCTTGTTCTCTTCCTTGATATTATTGTGGTGAATATGAGGTGACAGAACTCCTGTCACAGAGTGCAACGACGTACCACCAATATTCTGCAGCTTCTTAGTTTCCCTGGGTTTAGGGTTTTTGCTCTTGCTATTAAGCGGTGAAGATTTTGTCCTAGTGTCATTCTGATCACCGAGTATTAAACTGCTGTTTACAAGGCCTGGAGTGTGGGTTATCACAGAGGCAGGAATAGAATGCCCAATGCTACCTTTGTTTTTTGGAGAATAAAGCCCCTTCAAAGAACTGCCATTAGAAACAACAGGGAAGTCCCTGTCCAGACTCTCCACATTGTCAAGATCCCCAAGTAGCATATTGTCCCTCTGCTGTGTCCCAAACACTGAAGAGCCATACTGCTGATAGTCTTCAAGTACCGGGGACAAGGGCGACGAGGCACTGCCCTGTGAATAGTCCGATGATAATGAAAGACTAACATCTGGAGATAAGATATCAGATGAATTGTCCGGACTAAATGTACTGTCTAAACCAACAGGTCTTTGAGAATTGTTCGGCTGAGCCTTTGCTACTTGAGCCTTGTTTGTCCTCGGTGCTGCAGCTTTTCTGCTGGCTACCCTTTTAGCTTGTTTTGCCACCTTTTGAAGTAATGGGGCCTTTGGCTGGGGTTTACGGCGAGGTTTCTTAGGGGGTGGTTTTATGACCCCTGGAGATGATTTTGCGGCTGCAGCAGCTGCCTGTGCTTGTTCTTGTGCCTCTTGAAATTTGGCCTGTAAAGTATTAAAATGTTTACATAAAAATAATAATAAATACAAATTCTATTACATTTCTCATTTGGACATAGTTCACCTTGTTTGCCCCCCCAAATTTTGCACAAGCATTGCTTTCAATTCCTCTCTGGACAACTGTAATACCAAGGAGAAATTAAAAACAAAGGTTATGAAACATTTCAGAGGGCAAACAAGGTGTATTTAACAATTATTCCACGAATGCATGTTAGATATGAGTTGGCTAGAATTCCCCAAAAAAGGTCACTTGCTTACCAGGCAAGTAGCATACGTGGCAGGTGTTCAAAAGGGAAGGGGAAGGTATTTTGGTGCGAGTCCATGCACAAGGGAGACTCTTGGGACGCAATTCTCACGCACCCCAAATCCCTTCCCTTTCAAACTCCTGCCACGCAGGCTATCAGGCAGAATTCACTAGCCTGAAAGCAAAATCCACTAGTTATCAGACATCACTTTCTTAAAACACTCGTTTCTGGCAACGTTTTAACCTTTCTTACCTTAAGGCATGTTAACAAAACACACACACAAAACAATCTATGGTTTGGCCTTGCTCAGTGGCAAGCAGGGGTCATCTTCATATATGACTTGTTCTCTTATCGATTGTAAACCGCAGCAATTTGTGCCCACAAGTAGTGTAACAAAATTCCCCTCACAGAACGAGGATGCATGAAAAGAAATCTGTATTTGATATTATGCACTGCACCTTTTTCCTTGCATGTTCATCACAGAGAGGTCGTTCATGGATGACATCAAACACAGGTACTGAGCACTGGAGTCCACCAGGCCACTTTGCAGTGCACTGGGCATACAAGACTTGCTTCGCATCATTCATTATGTCTGTTTATTTTCATTAAGTTAACATACAACTCATATTCTACCTTAACATTAGGAAATACAAGCAAATAGTGGTATAAGTAAATATACAAGACCACACAAAGAGTGAGAGTCATCCATTACTACTAAGATTTTCATACAATGTACATGTATCTACTGTCGACCTCATACTGGAAATCAGTTGAGATTTTATAATCAAGCATCAGATATAACCGGAGAGACCAACCTGATGGATCGTCATAGATAAATCTCTTTATAAGAATTCCATTTATTTTTCACCTTTGTGCAAGTCTGAGTACATGTTATACAAACATTTTAAGTCTTTTTACTGTGCACCACTCAGCTCAGAATTTCTGTGCTTTCAGGTGATCAAATTCTCTTTTTTCTTCATTTTTTGCATATTAGCCAAAAAAAATTTCTGATCCTGCAATAATCCACTTAACATTTTCCCACAATCAATTATAGCACCACTTAAAGATTTTGGTCAATGATTGATTATGATTGATAATCGGCATAACATCATAACGGACACTCCTGCCTCGCTGAAATGGACACCTGGAGCTACATATACTTCCACTGTAATTCTTTTCTTTGACTCTCTTTAAGACAGACACCTCTCTACGGGTGCTTTCCACTTGTCAGAATTGACTGGCCAGACCTTTCCAGTCATAATGAGAATTTCACTTTTAATCAAAACTATTCAGCCAGATCAGTCAAATCCTAAATAGCACTCAAGAAGGTGATCGTGTTTTACCAAAAACCCTTTGGAAAAGGCATATTTCACTTGCTAAATGACTGGTCCAGCAATGGTCCGGCCAGCCAGTTCTGACAAATGGAAATCACCTTAAGTCAGACATCTATCACTGGATGAAAAAATGGATTTGCAAAAATTTGTTCCTTGCAAATATGTAAATACTGAGGAGTAAATATATGGTAAAGATGGTACATGCCACATTTGTGTACCACAAAACAGGGGGTTAAAAATGACATGGCAAATGTGATTACCGTATTTACCATGTTTGCCATAAATTTACTCCTCAGTATTCATATATTTGCGTCATATTTGCAAGGAGCAGATTTGTGCAAATCCATTTTTTTGTCCCATGCTGGAGTCAGACTCAATGGTGTCTACCTTACAGGGAGTTGACTGTAGACCTTATTAAGCACTTCCTTATTTGGCCTAAACAGGTATGGGCTGCCTGACAAAGCATAGTTTTTGGGCTCTTGTGGAAGCCTTGGACAGGATATGAATCCCAGCAGTGCATGGTTTAAATGTGTTCTACCAACAGTTTTTTAAAAAATCTTTCTCTGATAAAAAAATACTTTTTTCCATCAGGAAATGGGTTCCTGATTCTGTAAATGAAATGAAATGAATCAGGGTCACAAAAAAGGTCTAGCTTGTTTTAAAAAGGGATGCAAAACAAACAGATTTTATCTTAAAAAGTAAGGGGTTATGGGACTTGGTAGCACAACCCTACCAAAACTACCCAACCCCCTGCCACCTCTAGGCTTTACACCTAATGCTAACAATGAAATGGACTCTTACGGTAGTATGGACTGAAGAACATTTTAGCCACTTGAATGAGAGGAAGTCATACTTAGAATCACAAGGGCCAAGATCAGAAGTATTTTGTTCCTTGTTCAAAAAGGAAAAGAGAAAGCACCATTTGGCCTCCTCAAAAAGTTTTTTTCACCAGACAGTAGTTAACAATTTGCATACATACAGTCTGATGACTAGTAATGGAAACTAACCTCCACAACAATCCAAACAGAGATGCAACAAAGTATAGTAGAGTACTCTTTGACTCTGACTGTTAATTTTCATAAAAAGATACGATCCTTGCAGAACTTGGTATATGGAAAAGCTTTGTTATTGCACTGGACATCATCTTGTGAAAAGGCACAACTTTTTGACAAGCATCTTGTTGGTCTGGGTCTGTGGACAAAAAAGGAAAAAAATATATCAGAGTTTTGTTGCCACAAAATGACATGGGCAGGTGAGCTTACTGTTTGTTCTTAATGCCCACTTCCATTGAAGCTTCTTACATGCGCAAGAAAGAAGAAAACATTTGTGCCACCACCACATCACTTTCCGCTCTTAACCAATTAGCATGACACATCGCTTAGTTATGAATGATGGAATTTTGTATTGTGGTTCTACCATTTGAATCAGTGGATGAATCCTATGATATGACCATCCAAATGAAATATCTTTGGCAGCAGAGTCTTTACTTCCTGCTGTTTGCTTTTAAGCATTTTACAAAATGAAATTTGGAAGAGACTTTTGCTACAAATAGGTGTGAAAGGGATAAAGACAAATTTCCGTTATACAAGCACCGTCAAGGCTGTACTCTATGAAAAGTTGAATGGATCCAGTGCTCTGAACCTGTGAAATCCACAGAGCCCAGAGTATGAGTTCTATGAAAACTAAGATTTTCTAGTAGCCCAGGGGCAACAGTTAGGTCCCAGGGGACACCAGCTACTGCTAAAGCACAGCCTTTCTGTCCACAAAAAGAAATCATTTAAATAAAGACTGAACACAATGCTTTTTAAAATGGTCTATCTTTAGATGGGCATTTGCTTTATTATTTTGCATACTATTATGTATTTTCTTTTGTTTCCTATTTTTTTGTAGTGTGTAAGATGTAATCAGTAATTATTTTTTAATTATATATAATTGTAGAATTTAGTATAATAGGATGAAATTGTAAAAACTATTTTATAGTTAGTATAAGGTTTAAAATTGTAAAGTGCTATTAATAACTAGTATTAATAGCGCTATATAAATGAATTATATTATTATTATTATTATTATTATTATTATTATTAATAATAAATCGCCGGATGGCAAGACAAGTCTCACCTAGTTTTCCTGGATTTTTTGCTATTCTCAAATAAGGAATCCACACATGCTGAGCTATTACGGGAAACAGCCTTAACTAGAACACTTCCAGATGCCACAAGATCCTTGTGATGATAATGATGTGTCCGTAGTGTTCTCCTGAGCTGGTGAAGCTGCCGCCGTAACTGTGTGCTTAGTCTGGAAATCTTAGCAGTTCTGATATCAACCTCAAGACTGAAATAAATTAGCAAGATTTTAAAGATTTTTCAACATTGATATGTCATCTACAAATTTTGCTAATAACTGACATGCTAATAATTTTTAGAGGATATTACATGGCTGTGCAGACAAAGTTTCTCTTCAAGCGTTGAAACACGAGAAGAAAAATTTTGTCTCTCCAAGCAGCCATGTAATGTATTGTTCTATTAATTTTATGTAATAAATGCCAATTAAATACCAAACCATTTCACTTTAATATTTTTTGCTGTGAAAGGCACAAAATTATTGATCATGTAGCCATAGCAATGATGATCTTTCCGCATGTGAAGATAACAAGTTATTTCCATGTGTGAAGGTATCATGTTTTCACACAATAAGCTCACCTGGTATTTCATTGTTGTTTACGTATAATAAATATAATTTTTATGTTTTCATTATTTCATTGTCATCCATCCAAGGGCTTACATGTATAACAAACCAACTCAGACCTACATCCTGTCGGATTGTTAGCTCAGTTGGTAGAGCACTGCACCAGTATCACAGAGGTCAAGGGTTCAAATCCCGTACAAAGGCTTTACTTTTGAACTACAAAAGTTACATCTATTCACTGCTATGGTTTTCTTTCATTTAATTCTTCACCCCTCAGTTCCTACATACATGTATGATTTTCATATATTTATCATTTTAACTGACATATAACCAAACAGCAAAGTCCTTTGTGCACAATTAGGACAAACATGTTACATAGAATATGTGAGAATTTAATACAAATATTAAATTTCCTAATTAATGTAATTTATTAATTTTGATCAATACATGAAGGGCCCACCTTGCTGAATCCACTACAAAAAAATACTCACCAGTTATTTTCCCTCCTTAGTGCATCATAATCAATATCACTATCAGATGACAGCCATATCTGTTGCCATGGCATTTCATCACCTTCACTTGAACTCTCACCCTCAGAACTGTTAATATCTAAAATTAAGCAAAAAATCTAAGTTGTTTACAAACTTTCTTCTTGACATGAATGTATATTAACTTCACCTTTTCCAGTTCTTTGCACACTACACAAATTTTCTTTCAGTTAGGGGATAAAGAAGCAGATAAAAGAGCTATTTTCAAGGGCTAGATATAGGGTGGGTTTCAGAAGTATAAGAAGTTGATCTTGCCAAGTTGAGAAAAGACAAATCACAAAATGAAACATGCCAGCTTGCATCTTAAATGATAGTCAGACATGATCAATAGAATGTGACCCATGTATGAAGGTATATCTATAACAAAATTCAATAACCTAAAAGTGAAAAGGGATAAGTCAAATCTAAAATATAGGCATTATGCAATAACACATGATGTAAAAAGGCTTAATGCAAAAAGGTCATCATGCTAAAAGGCAAATTGCTTGAAGGCAAAAACATAATCAAAGGGCGCCTAAGGCTAACTACTCTATTTTAGAAATCAAAGCTGATAACGAACATCCAATTAATCTACCGGTATATTTAATTAAAGTGTGACAACTTCAACCGCGGCTACCTAAGGACTTTCAGCCAATCAGAAACCACTCCTTTAACAAAGAATTGGGCGTGCAGACCTCAACAGAAACTATCTTACTTTTCGATTGGTTAGTTTTGATCCATAATGATTTCGCTATTTAGAAAGGTGTGTCGCATTCACTTGCCCATCTTGGTTGTGTGGCTGATTTTTCTAAAATATACAAGCTGCTTATATATTGAAGGGCTGGCTATATGTATTGGGTGATTCCAGAAAATATCCATACCACGCCACGGGCGGCATCTTGGAATTCCGAGGGAGAGGGGGGGTTTCTTCGACTGGAATTCCGAAGACGTGGGGGGGTAACGCAGTTTGGAATTCCAAAGGCATGGAGGGGTGTTTCAGCTCTGAATTCAGTGAATTTCCAGAGGAAAGACGGCGAAAGCTCCGCTTGAAATCGCTGACCTGTTAACATTCCCAGTTTGTAAATGAAGCACGAACCGACCACGGAAGAAGTATGCGTTCATGCAGATGGGTAAGAAGATGGGTTGTGCAGCAAGCTCCACATCGAAGAGGCCTTAAAGTTGATGAATTAGTCAACTGATTAATAAAAATATAACCAAGTCGGTGTTTCTCGCCGATTGTCGATCGACGATGTGTTGTTGCGTGCTGAAAACTCGCACCAGTCTCTCGTTTCCAAATAGAACGCCTGACAGATTTTGTATTTCACGCCGATTTTCACACCAACATGTAGGTAGTAAAATCCGACAGCATGCCTTTTGACGCGCTGTTTAATTCAAAACTGTTTATGCGCAAGTGTTTTGATCATTCAGTTCTAAATAGTTATTTTTCCTCGAAATAACTATTTATTCCAGGAGCTGATATCCTTAAACGGACGTATATTTGCCAATAGAACTGGAAGAGTCGGGGAGAGGTTTACCTCAAAAAATTATAATAGTTACTTTTCATTCTTTTTTTTTTATTTCCATCATACATTTTACATGATTAAATTATTTGTACATGCATGTTATGTGTAGCGTGACAAAAATATTTGCATAAACCTAAAAACATTTGCTGATCAAAACTAAAACCAGTATTTAGGGGAAAAATGCAGTTCGGTCCTGATTGATCGTCCGACTAAAAATTGTGAACAGAATTCTTTTGCAGAGGGAAAAAGTGCAAGTTTCTCGTTCGTTTGAAGATTTAGGCAGACGAACAGGAATTCCAAAGGGTCTGAAACAAAAGTGGAAAATTCCGGAGGAGAGGGAGGGTTAGCGATTTTGGAATTCGGAGGGCAAGGGGGGGATAAGCATTTTGGAATTTCCGAGGGCAAGGGGGGGTTAAAATACTCATGCCACCTGTGGTAGGGTATGGATATTTTCTGGAATCACCCATTGCTTGGTAAGGGGTAAAAAAGTGCATTGTCTCTATGGGGAAAAAAGCAGTCTGGTTAACGTTGTTTGAAAATATCACACTGTTTTCTTTAAAGCAGAATGGTATTTTCTTATTCCTACAACTAGAAGTCATCATTCTAGATCTGGGTCCAGAAAATTCATTTGTAAAAAAAGGAAACAGAAACACTTGCGTTCAACGAGAAAAAATATCAACATTCGTGCAGGGTACGGCTGGGTGCTGTTTTTATAAAGAAGACATGGAGTAATCCCAGTTTCCCTCTTCAGCCAAACGGGAATTCAAACCTTCTAAACCAATCACATAATTAAAACATAGCTCTTATAATTATTCCTAAACTTCTCGCTAGCTACAAAAAGCGTTTTTTCTTGCATTCCCGAAGAAATCTTTTAAAAAAAGGAGAAACAAAAAATGAGCAAGCTGCTTGATCGCGGGATGGGAAAGCATGCTGAGGGCCGTGTTGCATGACATTTCATTTGCTCTCTGTATTTCTTTAACTTTCCTTCGGTTCCAAGTTCTTGAACAATTGCCTGTTGCGGATTGCCCAATATTAGGGAACTTAAGAACCACGACGAAGTTCACGACGACGACGTCTGTTGACTGGGAAAGAACTGGAACGAGAATGTCAGTTTCGGCGGGAAAAAGGAAACTTAAGATGCAGTCGATCAGTAGGTCGACGACGACGACACCGAATGTAAACAAACATGTAGAAGTAGTACAACTGTGATGTTCGCTCGCAACAAAGTTTTTTCGCAAAGGCGTCTTTTTAAGACGATGCAAGATCTTATTTTATAAGCCGTACGTCTACTTTCATTGACGGTGAAGAATTTCTAGTGTTGTCTGACCTTTTCGAATGGAAAAATCTCTGCTTTCCGTACGAAGGTTATTCAACTTTCAACCTGAATGACATGACCGAGTCCGATTGTCTGTCAGAGTTTAGATTTGGAAAAAGAGACATCCCGATGCGATAGCTGTTTTCCATATAAAGTTCATTTCCTCTATATTAAAGATATATGATTTGCCTGACCTAAATACGTACAAATAAATTTGTCACTTACGAGTACGCTCGCTTGGCCTGCACAGCTCAGTGTTGTCTTCGAAGTAAACACAATTCATCAGTCAAATTTTCAATCAACATCGCTTGTTAGCAGAAAAAAGAAAGGATACCTGGATTTCCGAGGTGAAAAAATACAAAGCCCTTGAACAGGGAGTTATACCTGTCGAAGCTTGTGGACTGCAGGACGACGTGACTCTACTGTGTTTGGCGTCGTCGACGACACCACGACGACGAAATTTGTTAACCGCGCTTGTGCAGTGCACGGTATCTCACTTCCGGTCGTCGTCGACAAAGTTGTCGTCGTGGTTCTTGAGTTCCCTATTATGGAGCTAGCACCCTTTCGTGGACAAAGTGTGCCAAATTTCTACCGTTATCGTTAAGACCGCAATTCTCAGCAATGATTTCATCTTTCACTTTCAAAAAGGCAACCCGCGTTTACGAGTAAAAATTTAAATTTGATCATGAGAAAAGAGAAAACAAGATTCTTTGGTATCTGATTGGCTCACAGTATAAGTAAGCCATTCTAAACAGCGAAAAATATCGAAACTAACCAATTGAATAATAGGACAGTTCTCGGTGAGGTCTGCACGCCCAATTCTTTGTTAAAGGAGTGTTCTCCGATTGGCTGAAAGTTCTTAGGTGGCCCCGGTTGAGGTCGTCACATTGTAAGTCTGTCAAAAAGTGAAAATATGTTTTACAAAAACAACTAAAGGACGAAAAAAAAAGAAAAAAATTTCAAATGACCAGAGTCGAACCTTAGACCTTCCACATGGATGCGTTATCTATTGCGCCACGACAACTAATATTGAAGACTTCTATTAAATTAATCATCTTTAACACTTTTGCCCTTGAAATTCTGCTGGTCAATGTTGTTTGAAGCCAGTAGAGCTTTATTTATCAAGAATTGAAAGATATATATTTGAGGAAAACAAGCATGGTTTTGACAGTAAAAGCTGTACTTTAACTCATTTCATCGCATTTGAAGAAGATATGGCCGACAAGTATCTCACAAAACCGTCACAAAGTCTCTTGCAGCTTGCTAATAATTCTCAGCGTTTCCATGAGGAGAATCAATTATATCAACAACAAAAAACATTTCCATTTTTATTGAACAAAGAAACATTTAACTTCAGAATGATATTTCACTAAAAACCATGAGATTGGGAGTCTTGTCGTGAGAGAAGTTAAAAAATCATGAGACTCACTGCAGAATCGTGAGCTTGGACCAGCTTGGGAGTTGAAGAGCAATTGCTAATCTTTTTGTCATGTTTATCACCTGGACAAGTCAAAACACTTCAAAAGTTCATAAACTTTTTTCTCAAAGTTGGCCATAATGCTAACGTAAAACTTTCACAGTCCACATGAAGACACACATGTGACTCCTGTGAAATGCACAAAATCAGCACATCACGGAATGGGAACGATCTATGGCAGTTGTTGTTTTGATATCGGGTGCTTTCATGCAGAGCCAACTCATTTACGACAGGTGTCTACCATGGTTCATACAAAAAACTGCAACCATTTTTCAAGGACCACATTAGATTTTCAAGGACCACCTACCAGGAATATAAATCCATAGACTGCACAAAAATGCACATTCCCAGTCTGTTCTAATAAGACTTAAAGGCTTGAACTGTTTGCTTTGCCAACTTCTCTACATTTTTCAGTCCACTTGTCTTACACTGATAGTTAATTATTGCATAAAACATGGACTACTTTATGTAAATAACCTTTAAATTCTCTGAGCTATGATTTATATTCTCTCTTGGACTACCAAAAAGCATCAAAACATTCTTTTCAGGCCACTTCATTCAGAGTTGAAGAAAATTCAACGACTTTTCAAGGACTTGCACAGAAATTTAAGGACTTTTCAAGGAAACATGGAATTCAAGGACTTTTCAAGGACTTCCCCTAAAATTCAAGGACTTTTCAAGATTGTGCAAACCCTGTGTCTACATCTGAGTGATACATTTGCATATTGCAGTGCCCACAATAACTTGTTCCTTATGCTACGCACAATCCACAAGTTCAAAAAGGTATCACACAAAAAGGTGTAACACTTAGAGGTATCTCACAAAAAGGTGTAGCACTTGGAGGTATCTCACAAAAAGGCGTAACACTTCGAGGTATCACACAAAAAGCAAACAACAGAAAGACAAGACATAAAAAGGCATTATGCTAAAAGGCATAGCCCAGAAGACGCTCCTAAGCACTCAGGAACTGAACTCCCATTGTCTGCTTTTTGTGAGATGCCTTCTTACAGTATGTTTTGCCTTCAAGTAACATCCTCAGCGTCAGAGCTTGAATCAAGCTCCACTTCAACTTGACAGAGAGGGCATAGAGGAAAGAGATGGCAAGAGGGTTGGGGGGGAGGGTAATTTATCGAGGAAGGTAATTATATCAAAAACCATAAAATTCCGAAAATAAGCCCCGGGCCTTATATTTTTCAAAGGCCCTTTTTGAGGGGCTTATTTTTGGACGGGCTTATATTGGGAAGGGCTTATCTACGGAGGGAAATTTGCGTTTCAAACTCTATAGGGCTAGCCTTATAATTGGAAGTAAATTTACCGTTTTTGCTTTGTTTTACGTTGTATTTGAGGGCAATTTTCCAAGTACAAGCCCCTGGGGGGCTTATATTTGGAGGGGCAATTTAACGAAGGGTTTTTAGTGTTGCCGGTTTGGGGGGGCTTATATTTGGAGGGGCTTATTTTCGGAATGTTACGGTATTTCAGTCTAAGGGGGGAACGATTATTCAAGGGAAGTGGTTAATCAAGGGATGGCTGTTATTTCGAGGAAATTCAGTAGGTAAGAAAAATAAACTTCTGGCACACAGGGAAGGTCCCAACATGGTTAAAATTTTTGACTCTAGGTAACATAGTTTCTTGCAAACTATTTTATCTGAACATGACTGAAAGCATTCTGCACATTGTGAGCAACAAACATAAAACAACAAAATGTATGTAAAAAAGCTGTGACAACAAAACATGCACATAGGTATTTTAGGGAACTTTTTAGCTAGTATGTAAATTTTGAGCATATATAATATATGGATTTGAAAAGCATATAATTTTATTAAAACTTACGGCTGATTTCAAGGAAAAATTATTTAAGAAATTTCTTTCAAGTCTCATCTTATAAAACAAAGTAAAAAAACATACGATAGTATGCACAGTTAAGCTTATTTTTAAAGTTCAACTAAACTGAAAACTGCCAAGCTGAAAACTCATATGATTATACCTATGACTATCACATGAATTTTCATAAATAAACCTTGTGCCAAGAAAGAGAACAAAGCTAAATCTTGCCACCCTACAAAAATCAACTAAAAATCTAGAAACGTGGCTTTTAAACTGGTGGATGTTTTTCTACCCATAACATCTACGGTCGAAACACAAAATGAGAAACCAACATCCAGTGTTCATTTCATTTACCGACTGAAATAAAATATTTTTCGTTTGTAATGTGACTTCAAATTTATGAATAGTCTAACAAAGCTGTTGCATGCTAGAACAAATATATCTGGCAAGGACACGGAAAAACCTGATGTTTCAAGTTTTTAAACGAAGGCTTGAGAAGTCCAATGTTAATGTAAGCTTACATGATAGATTTATTTCGTGCTCTAAACTAATCGAGTTACACAAAAGTATTCGCGGACAACACGCAATCAAGTTAAAGCTTCATTCGCTAGTTAAACTAAGAAAATACATGAAAATTCTTACCGTAAATCTTGAATAAATCTGCTTTATCCTTGCGCCATTTCTTTCTACTCTGCCTCAACTCCTCTACAGCAGGGATATTCGCATACCTTTTCCGTTGTGGTTGAATTTTAGCTTTCTTTGCACGCAGAGGAAAGATTTGGGGAGGAAGCGAAGACATGTTTGTTGAACCAGAAGTCGCTAAAACATCTGTCCGTAATTTCGATTCAGAGGTCGACGGAGATGAATTCACTTCGCCTTCACCACCTTCGCCGGGTTTTTTTCGTCGATTCTTTTTAGGAACAATTCCAAGGACTTGAAGATGGCTGTTACAGTATCTGAAAAGGTAAAAGAACGTTTACATGACGATTTAAAGCGGTAAATAACGGTCGCTTTATCGTGGGAAGATTAGTTCTATCTCCGTTTACATCAAAGAAAGCGCGAAAGCGTTCAAGCAAAAATTGAAACTCAAAGAAGAGAAAGAGAAATAAGCTTAAATATCACAACAAACTCTTACATTCTTTCCTCGGCAAATGGTATAGGATTCGTACATTGATGTCCGTTGTATTTTGCCACAAATCGGCACTGTTTAAACGGGGCATTTTTGTCCTCCAACACATGACGAATACAGAAAGCGTAGCCATTGAGCCTCCGTTGCTTACAAAGTTTCTCGCTGTAACTACAAAGCAGTTTCCCATCCAACGGTGAAGAGTGAATGTTTTTTCCTTCAAACATGACATTTGCAGTTTTTCCGTGCTCTCTGATGGCACTAACATCTACTGTGAAAGGAATAAATTTCCGAGAATTAGAAACGACAAGAGAATATCGAATATTAATTCACAAATTTCATGAATTTTCAATATCCCAATAGGGGAAATTTACTTGATTCCTCCGCCATTCCCTAAACTTCCAAACCGAAGGGAAAATCTCATTTCAGTCTCCTTCAACAAGGAGCAAAAGTTTTCTGTCGAACAGATTCAGACGTGGAAGGAACGCTAAAATATGCATACAATTTTCCGTACGACTAGTTTATACAAACAATGCTTGCCCGTACTTTCGTTGAAACTACTCGTTTCAAACTTCAAAGCGCTGGGTTTAGTTTGTATTTCCTCCATAAAGACGAATAGAGTTGTCCTTCGTTCAGCAAACGGTGAAAAACGAACAGAGAAGTCTGTTTCCTTGAAAGATCCCTACGCAATCGCCATTGTGGCTTGCGTTGAACTGCCGACCACTCGGTGATGAGCGAATGAGAAAATCGCACACCCTATAAGAGGCCTTTTTTGGTGCACCAAACCGTATTGAATGACACCTTGCTCGAGACTTTGAAAACAGAATTCGTTTTATTCCAGGCCAAAAAGTGAGGCATTTTCTTGTTAATTCGCGGTCCTGAAAAGAGAATTTGAGGCACTTTCTATCGGTCCGGGAAGGACGGAAAATCGTTAAGATAACAGCGAGATATTCGCGCGAGTCGCCCCTCTCCATTTTGGTGTTTTTTTCAACCATGGGCTCTGGGGCGGGTCATATTCAAGAAAGACGCCATTTTGCAAGTACGACAACAGGGCTTCAACAACAGCCAATCACAAACGAGAATTGCGCGGAACGAGGCCAAATCCTAAAGTTACCTTAGCAACTGATCAAATGATTGACAGGCAAAAGGTAAATACTGGGGCAAATATGGCGGGAAATGCGGAAAAGAGCAAAATTTCCTTTGATATGTTCTTTGATATGTTTTAAGGCAGTATTGAATATCTCTCATGAAAGAGAGGAAAACCGAATATATTATGCTTGTCTGTTTGGATATTATCCAGACTTAATAACAAACCTTAGAAGTTCCTGCCTCCTGGGGTGCATAGTACACGTTATATTTATTCTCACGATAAAAATACGTTTCAAGTGTGATCCAAAAGAAAACTACAGCATATTCCATGGTATGCTTGCATTCCGGGATCAGAGCATTTTTACACTATTTATTTCAAGGCCATTTGCGTGACCATAAATACGCTTTGTATGTATTTTTTCACTGGCGCAAGAGGAAAACAATGCCTTTCACTTCAGCTGCCTTTGAATTAATTCCGTTTCTCTCCGTCTAATAACTTAAATACACCTGTCGACCAAAGGAAGACCTAGTTCATATGATAACAAAACTTACTGAATCTGATCTCACGGAACGCTTTCTTTAACTCTGTGGTGAATAAACAAAATGACCCACAATCAGGTTTGTTTTCTGTCGCCATTTCATTAGCTCGTATATCACATAGCTCCTAGGGTGTATATGTAATTTTTCTGTCTTCTACAACAACTTATTCATAATTTTTTGGCTATCGTGTTTGGCAGGGTGGGAGCCCTTTGGCAAGCCTTGCGAAAGAAAAATGCACTCTTTTTCAAACTGCACGTCCTTAGCTTTCAAAACATTTTTTCCTAATTTCGTACGTATATCTCCTACGAGATAATTTTTTTCCTCCAAGTTCTGATGGCTTATCGAGGTTACGTGCTTCTCCGAACGTGGATAGGAGGACGGAAGAGTGAGAAGGAGAGCCCCCAGTAAATGGTTTAGTTCAGCGTGAGATGGACAGTGGTTACAGAGTCCGGCCCCAAACTTTTTTCTTTCTTTTACAGTTGTGTGACTTTCGAGCAACTAAAAACTGTTCGAAAAATTAAGAGATTTTCAAGGCTTCAATTGAATGAACCGGCGTGAAGGATGTGTTTTGGCGGTTTTGGCAAATTGTTCTCAGGATTTTTGGAAAATACGTGACAAAACAACAGTGAACGTGCAAGCCACAAATTACCCTTTTAACGGCACGACGTTTTTAATATTGCATTGTGACTTGCTATTGTGGAACTTTAGCAAAAAGTTTTTGGCCTTTCCAATGCTTTTTGACATTCCTCCGTGTTTTTATCTCAGATCAAGGAGGAGGCTATTCTTTTACAACTCAAGGCTTTAATGTTCTCGATCAGTCTCGAACCGCAATAGACTAACAAAAAATAAAAGAAAAATTTCGAACTCCACTAATGCCTTGTTTACCATGGAGCGACATATCTACTCCGAGACGACCATGTCATCGGCACTTATGGGTTTCCTAGGGAGTAAACAAACTTGATTTTGTAATTTTCCACGTGCCACATATTTTAAGCCTACCTTATGCTAACATCGCCCCAGCAAAAAGCTAAGGAAAGATCTTTTTATTCACCGAGAACTAGATTTCCTATTGCCCAGCCAGAAACTACAATCAGTGAGAAAAGTAGCTGACAAACTAATCTAAATCACGGGCTTGTATCAAAAGTTTCATTCCTTTATCAAACAATTTATTTTTAACGCCGTTAATCCCCAAACCCGAATCAAGTTGTTTGTAGTTGAAGAAAGACTTACAGGATTTAAAGTGCAACATTGGTTTTGGAGTGAGGGACTACACAGAGGGAAGGGATAGATGTGTCCCCTACACTATGCAAAAAAGGAGCTCGAAGTGTCTCGACACCTTCGACCGTGTAAATGGGCCAACGCGCAGACAAAGCTGATTAGCTGGCCTTTAACTTACAGTAACTCGTACCACCAAGTTCAGCTTAGTTTATCTTAAAGTAATTTGCAACAACTGCACACTATTATCATTCTTATAATGGTACAAACTAAATTTATTAGTTTCTAATACAATCTAACATCATTTGCTTCAAGCGGGATTGCATTTGGGCTGGAAAGGGGACAGATGGAAGGAGCTCGAAGGTGAGTAATAGGTACAGAAGTTGTCTAGCACTCTCAGTGCTGATTTTTAATCTTGAACGTTTTCCAAAGCACACATATAACAGTTCCTGAGGCCAGAACTCGAAAATTTTTCTACTCAAAGGCCTCCAGTCTAACGCTATATCCTGCCCCACATTTATCCAATAAAATTTTGACATTCCACGAGCAGGCTGAAAAAATATTTTTAGGACTTTGCAGGGCCTGGAAGAAATTGTTAGAACTGAATGAATTTTCCAAGAAATTTCAGGAAAACAAACCGACATAAAACACACGCTGGGAACCGGAGATTAGACTATTCACACTCCCCTAATTTCTCCTGAGATAGTCGAGATCGAGCGCTTTGCGGAATGGGCGTTGGTTTCAAAATGTTCCGAGTTTAGCATTGGGATGAGTGTCAAATCGACTGTCAAATCGAGCACTTCGACGAAGTGCTCGATCCTGACGATCTTACGAAGAAACAGAGGACTGAGAACAGTCTATGCGGAGTTCCACACTCTCGTTCAACATGCTTGACATATCTCTCCCCTTTAGAGCTTCTCTTATGCAGTTACGTTTCCTGCCAAATGCATTTTCCATTTTGTCTTTCTTCTCAGGCTTACAAGAATCATGCTTGCATCTTTTTGTGCTAACAACAATCCTCATATTAAATACTAAATAACTTATTTATGCTCCGTTTATTAGCAACTGAGCTTGATTCTCAAATGTTTATCACGGCCTCCAAAAGGCCACACCCTTTAGTGGTGTAAATAAACAGTCTTGATCATATTCGTCAGATTCAACAGAATTTGTTAAGTTCTCTTTTTATATTAATAAATAACTTTTGGCCTGGCGATCTCCAGAAGGGCGATGTAATTGTAGATCCACCATTTTTTCAAAGTTCTTGTTCCTTACTTTTGAACTATTCCTTTTCCAAGTTATTTTTCAATTCTTTCTCATCTCCAACTGCAAGAAAAGGAAGTAACAACAAAGACTGATTTTTTCACAAAGTACTGAATGTGCCATTTCAAAAAATGTTCATCTTTTACAAAGAGCTAATATTCACTGGGCATGACTTCATCCATCGGATAAGACAATAACTATCTGTGACCCTTATGCGCCGAATAGTACTATCCAGTTTTTGAATAATCAAGGCCAGAAAGTTCTCTGTTCGAATTCCCTTATCACTTGCTACCCATTGTTGCATATGATATAGTTATGCTGTAAAATGTACATGATAGATAAAATATGAGCAGCTTAAGACATCGAACATCTGATACAGATATGATGCCCTTTTCCTGACCGTGCACAACGTTCAATAGCACTCCTATCATTTTGAAGTTATTGACCAATAGAAACATTGCATTAATTTATTCAGTCATAATTTGTCAACAGAAAACAAAGGATTGTGCAAGGTCAGGGAGCTTCCAACATAACCTACAGCACCATTGTTTTCAACTTTGGTGTTTGCCGGGTTTCCTAACCAGTCTTCTCTGCTAACTATGGCTAGACTTTCTAGTCTTCTCGGACAAGGACAGAAAACGTAGGTCCCATCTCACAGCACTTTCACTTAATATCTGTTTTTTTTTTTTGGACATAAAAGAACCCACACCACTGTTTATGGTCAACCTTTCCTGGGCTGGGTGGGTTATCTGTAGGGAGAGATCTTAATATAGGGGTAACCTCATGATCCTCCTTCAGGTGTCATAATGGCTACCAATGAACAGTGTACATACTGGTATGTATGAATGTTCTACCTTTTGTCTTGGTATCCTCTGGATGTGACTTATCATTGACCACAGCTTCACCATTAATAGCATATTTCTTATCATCCTTTTGTGGCACTGAAAGAATTTACAAGCAATAATGCAAATATTAATACTTAGTTTGCTCAAGGAAACTTAAAGAAGCTGTGTTATGTTATTTTCTAAAAAGCCAAAAAGTGTCCTCGCATCAATTGCATTCCAAAAATAATGGTCTAATTTTGTCGTTAAAGAAGGTGTTGAAACTGTTTTTTGTCATCTGTGCTCCCTGATAAAATTTGTTTGAGTTCTTCTCCATGAATCCATTGGCCGAGCATTTTGTGCAAGTCACTAAGTAATGACTCAAGCAGGAAATTAAACCAAAACAGAAATATCCTTGTGACATGGCCCCTTTAAGTGAGAGTTAACTTTAGCAATTTTGAATGAATTTTGAACGCGTGATGTTTGTTTGTAACATAACAATTTACATCTAAAATAATATTACTTCAAGATTATATCCAAGATTAATTTTAAGTGAAGATTATATCAAAGATTAATTTTAAATTCTTCATGGCCTTGCTGCAAAGTACCTTGAGCCTACATTGGTTAAGCATTTTAATATCCACAGTCACAATACCAGACAGAAGAATCCCTTGGACCCTACATTTAGGAGAACCTCAACTGCACAGGGATTGGGTGGGGAGCTTTGGGCATCTATACTTTGACTTGTGTAAAGTTTTCAGGATCATAATGTTATTATATTATTTATTTTAGTTCATCTTGATAATTTTTATTAGTTTCTCAAGATCACTGCAATTAAGTTTTCTTCTGGTGATTGTAAACTAACATCAAAAATCCCAATTTGGGGCACGTTAATAAACTTATTGAATTGTACTGTATTGTATTATGTGTGACATGCTCACCATTCTTTTCCAACATGGCCTGTACAGAGTTGGTTGGCTTTCGATGACGCACCCCTGCCCCCGCCCCTACCCCAGAGACTTGTCTGGGAGGTGTCCAGGTGTCATAGTCCAGCTTTGGAGCAGTAGGGCGCTGCTTTCTTGCAGGGTTTAAATGATAACAGTAGCAGCATCTAAATGCTAAAAGAGATATAGAGGATATTACATGGTCATGTGGAGATACGAAATTTCTCTTCGAGTGTTGAAAAATATTTCACGAGTGAGCGCAGCAAACGAGTGAAATATTTTCAACATGAGAAGAGAAATTTCATATCTCCAAGCGGCCATATAATGTTCTATTTATTATATAAACACCAATGAAATACCAAACCATTTCAATGAAACAGTCTTTTCCTGCGAAAGGCGAGATTTATTACGTAGCCATAGCAACGGTGATATTTTCACATGTGAAAATAACATGTTATTTTCACATGTGAAGATATCACGTTTTCGCACGAAAAATCACCTGGTATTTCATTGGTGTTTATATAATAAAAAGCACTTCATAGATGAAACAATGCAAGATACTGAGAAGTGTCTTGTAATGATATTGTAGAATATCTACCTTTACATCTACTTACATTTGTTATTGGTAACTCTTTTAATTCAGTTAAATGCGATCTAACAGAGTTAACAAGGAGCACTAATCTTGGTGGNAAATATTTCACGAGTGAGCGCAGCAAACGAGTGAAATATTTTCAACATGAGAAGAGAAATTTCATATCTCCAAGCGGCCATATAATGTTCTATTTATTATATAAACACCAATGAAATACCAAACCATTTCAATGAAACAGTCTTTTCCTGCGAAAGGCGAGATTTATTACGTAGCCATAGCAACGGTGATATTTTCACATGTGAAAATAACATGTTATTTTCACATGTGAAGATATCACGTTTTCGCACGAAAAATCACCTGGTATTTCATTGGTGTTTATATAATAAAAAGCACTTCATAGATGAAACAATGCAAGATACTGAGAAGTGTCTTGTAATGATATTGTAGAATATCTACCTTTACATCTACTTACATTTGTTATTGGTAACTCTTTTAATTCAGTTAAATGCGATCTAACAGAGTTAACAAGGAGCACTAATCTTGGTGGCCAGTGGTGTTGCAAGATACTGATACACATGCACCAGTATCCCACATGTTCTTGCAGTTGTGTACATTGTAGCATGTTCTGGTGCATTTTTGAGATTTCTGGCCTTTTGTCTGGCCATTTTTTAGCAGTTTCCAGAGCGTTTTTCTTCTTGCTTGTGATTATTTTTAGCATTCTGGCATTTTAGCATGTTTGGGCAGTTTTTAGTGAGCATTCATTCCAGAGACAGCGGAACATTTTGAAAGGGAGGAGGCTTATCTTCCACTCAGTCATGTGCATACCCTTACACAAACTTTCCAAAATGCCATTTGCATTGTTTGTTGGCACAAGCAAACCTCTTTGCAATCTTCATAGTGTCTGGTGTGTCTGTAATCGATTTGTGACAATGCATTAGTAGTCAGTTGTTCAGGCATTCTTGCATCATGGTGCTTCTTAGGTAGTTCTTGAGTTGTCTGAGGGCAGAAAATGTGCGCTCTAATCACCGATGTCACTGGTAAAGTCAAATATATCCAAAACATGGGGAGTTTCCCCCCTAAAAATGTTTTTGGCCCCCCTGCTCTGCCACCTATGCATCCATTCTTCCTTGGAGTCTCACATTCGTGGGGACTCAGTTTACAGTGGTTTTCCTCCTCCCTTTCCTATTTGCGCTGACTTGCTCAAGGGTGTGCTGGGAGCCTGCTTTCTCCCTTTCACGTGGGGGCTCATGGCTGGGTTGCAAGGATTTGCCAACCATGGGAACAGTCTCTTCTTTCTAGGAGCTGGTTGCCAACAGTGAAAGCTCCTGGATATCTCAGGCCCGCAACTTCCACTTTGCGATGCAGTTGCTAACTACCGTCAACTCTTGCCTTGTGGACACCCTGCTATAACGGACACCCCGATAATACGGACAGCAGCTAAATCCCCAGCACAAACAAATTACAGATGTTTGACTGAAATAAACTCCTGCTATTACGGACACTCGCTAATGAGGACACTACAGTGTCCGCTATAAAGGGAGTTGACTGTACATAAGATTCTGTTCTGAAACATGATAGATGGGAAAGAAGAATACAGACTTCAGGAGGCAACTTCTATTAAAAATATCATTCAACTTCTCTGAAATCTTGTCATTTGTGTTACAGGATACATGATTTTATTGCACTGTATAAAGCACGCCCTTTCTCAATTCTGCTATAAATGTGTGATCAAGTTCTTTAGTGGGTTAAGCATCCTTATTTCAGAGTTAATCCCTATCTCCTGATTTAAGCACTTGAACATTCTAAAGTTTGATTTGGACATCAAATTACTTAGTATGCTCATCAATGTACCTGTAAATTCAAATTCGTCCTTTAGTGCCATTCCATTGTGCGAACAGCACTGTTTACAAATCAGGGCATATCTATTGTTTGGTCCATCACCAACCAGGTACTCTATCACCTGTAAAAACATTACTCCAAGTTAATGCCATGATAGATGCTTGCAACCGTGTAAGTTCAAATATGGCAGACAAGAGTGAGATCATGCATACATGAGGAATCAAAGTACGTTTCAATAAAATTAATGTCAGGGGCACCCCACAACTGTTTTCTGTAAAAGATCTGTTGGGAGAAGCAAATATTGCCTAGAATTTTCTATTACTGGACAACAGCAAAAAATTTCTAGATGACCGTTCCCTTCATGTACAATTTTTGATGCGTATCTAATAAATTCCCTAAAATTTTCTGAAGTTTAATTTTTTCACATTCCACACCCCAGGCTGGGCTATTTTTTGTAGAAAAAAGGAAACCTAAAATTTTCGGATTTAAAAAAATAATGTGATGGAGAGAGGAATCAAAAAAAATTTCACTTTCACGATGCGCTAAATTGCACCTAAAATTTTCCGGAAAATAAATCTGAAGCCCTTGTAATTTCAAAAAGACTCAAGTTCCCCTGGGATGACCAAACAGATACAAATTTTATAGCGCCACTTAAAATTTGGATTTTGTATGGTTATTTACAAAAAAAATACATCAGTGCATGTTATTTTTAATTATGTTCCACAGATCTGTTTTTGATGTACATGTATTCCAATCTTTTCTTTAATTCTTACCTCTTCCCGTGTCATATCAATTTGATTAATATCGGGATATTGTTCTAATTATTTAAATTCTCTATTATATAGCTTAGTTATACATTAAAACACACATGCACACAAAACAATGGAGCTTTAAAAGACATGGCCATCATCATTGCTGACCGCTGACTGGATCAAAATGTATGCACACTGCTTAAAATGCATTTCTTGAGGTCTAAAATAATATTATCACTCTGGATAGCCTAAAAGTGTTTTCAAAGCATTTGAGCGTCGTTGCATGCCCCTGAAATGTCTTTATGCTTTATTGTGTCAATCTGTATGGGCCATTTCCAAGTTGCTCTAAGCCTCTGTTCTAAAGCGACACTTATCGCAAAACTATTGATATGAAAATTATTTTTAATTTGCCACTTTAACCCTTTCAGTCCCAAGAGTGATCAACATCAATTTTCTCCTAACAGTGTTTATACATCATATAAGAAAAAGTGTATGAAAATTTAGAAAATGACTACCAAAAGGATAATTCTTTGATCTTTTTACAAATTCTCTCAACATTCTAAAGAAGATGTGTGGAGATAAGTCTGGAGAATTTGTATGTGGATATCTGGAGCTTGAAGGGCTAAAATCGAGGAGTAAACTGGGTCGGTTTAACATACATAAATACTTCTTGGATTGTTACTGGGGATGCATCAGTCAGCTATTGGTATTTTGTTTTCCCTGTCCCCTGTAACAGTCCGGAAGTCTTTGCGAAAGTTAACTAGGTCCAGTTTCCTCTACATTTGCAGAAATAGCCTATTGGCCAAAACACTTTCTTCCCCACTAAGCTGTATCAAGGCTTCCTTTTTCTCTTACACATGAGTTTGCAGTACATTAGTGTTCTTTCCCAGAGTCTGGAACCATGTTACCCTGCAAACAGAGGTTTATCTTTTGCATGGATTTTAGCGTTTACAAAGTCATTGGCATGGCTTGTCTGTTGCGTGGTTAGTTTGTTTACATTTCCCACGGGGCATTAAAAAACTGACCATGCAACAGACAAGCCATGCCAACAACTTCATAAACACTAAAAGCCATGCAAGAGAGAAACCTCTGTTCGCAGGGTAGAACCATGTGAGAGATAAACATTTTTTATAAAGTATGTGCGCCTGCTCAAGTCATTCAAAAATATGCTAAATGAAAATTTTCCTTGCATGATACATGAATTTAGAACACAGTCAACTCAAGTGAAGTGGTGAAAACTGACCACACAGATGAATTTAACAACCACAAGAAAACAAAGCAAATAACAAGAAACAGACCTTATCCATTGCAGTTCTTTCTCGTGGCAAGATTGGTTTTGCTGGTTTAGGTATTGGCACAGGGGAGCCAGGAGGGCGTACCACACCCTGTGACATTGGAGATAAGGCACCTGAAGAAAAGACGCATCTTATCAAATGATAAAAAACAACAAACAATAACATTCTATTACAGACAACTTTCTCCATAAAGAAGGACTCCCCTATGAAAGTAGCCGGGGGGTCATGCTTGTAATAGCCAGGGAAAATCCCTAGCTCCCAAGCCATTAGGGATAGCCTTGGCGATAAATTAATCCTCATTTTCCATGACCATACGTCTTTCCTGAAACTAGATTTGCTATGTCTGAATTAATGTTATCCACAACGGTATGGTCACTTTCGATGCCAATAACATTTCACTGTGTCAAGTGGTTCTACAAAATTAATGAACAAAAACTACCTGAAGATGGAGAAGATATATTCATAAGGCTGTTGGATTTTCGTGCTTCCAAAGGTTCTTTTAACTGATTGGAGGTNACCTTATCCATTGCAGTTCTTTCTCGTGGCAAGATTGGTTTTGCTGGTTTAGGTATTGGCACAGGGGAGCCAGGAGGGCGTACCACACCCTGTGACATTGGAGATAAGGCACCTGAAGAAAAGACGCATCTTATCAAATGATAAAAAACAACAAACAATAACATTCTATTACGGACAACTTTCTCCATAAAGAAGGACTCCCCTATGAAAGTAGCCGGGGGGTCATGCTTGTAATAGCCAGGGAAAATCCCTAGCTCCCAAGCCATTAGGGATAGCCTTGGCGATAAATTAATCCTCATTTTCCATGACCATACGTCTTTCCTGAAACTAGATTTGCTATGTCTGAATTAATGTTATCCACAACGGTATGGTCACTTTCGATGCCAATAACATTTCACTGTGTCAAGTGGTTCTACAAAATTAATGAACAAAAACTACCTGAAGATGGAGAAGATATATTCATAAGGCTGTTGGATTTTCGTGCTTCCAAAGGTTCTTTTAACTGATTGGAGGTCCCTGATTGGTTGAGCTGTGAGGTGACAGCCTCTGCCAGTGTAGGCTCAGAGATAGTGCGTTGCAATGGAGCCCCACCAGGACCCTCAACTTTAGGCGCAGCATTTCTCTGCCTTAACTCTGCAAATATCAGTACAGTGAAACCCAGTTAATCCAGTCACCAAAGGGACATGCCATAATTTCTGCATTAAGTGGATGTCCACCTGAAGAGGACTGTCAGAGAAAACCTCACGGACACATGTGTTATTTATATAAAGATATTTTCACCAGAAAACTTTGTTTAATTATTTTGTGACTGGGTCTTGAGCAAGTCAATCCTAAAGACATCTTATGATAATAATTATCCTCTCCCCTTATGGTGCTTTTCAGCGATAATGCAACAAAACTGGTAGGAAGCGAACAAGTGAGCTATTTTACAAGTGTGGCTGAGGATTTGAACTTGGGACTACTGGGAACAAATTGAGCTAGTGGCCAGGGCAGGACTTGAACTTGGGGTCTCCGAATTACAAGTCTAGTGTTCTAACCGCTCGGCCAGGCGATCATCATTTGTCATAGTCATAAATTAACATTACCTTTTTAGTTATCTTTATTTTAGACACAAGAACGGAATCGTGACTTAACTTTGTGCTCACACATTTAGTTTGTGAGTGGACTTAATAAAGGAAGAAGATCCTTTGGAAGGTCATTTGTTATTCTTGTTAGGTTTTCACAGGTAAGATATTCAGTCATGTCAGTCATGGACATTGCATAAAAAAGCTGTGTCCGTAAAGCGAGGTTGACAATATGGGAGTTTGTGACTCAAAACTAAGGAAAGTGTGCATTGTCCATATTAGCTGGAATCTGTATTAAGCAAAATAATATTAACATTATCTACAGGTGTCTGTTTTAAGTAGGTGTCCGTGAGCAGGGTTTTACTGTATTAGTATCACTTTCAGTCACACAGGAAGTGCAGGTGGCTAACATTTACTCAGTTTTTCTCATTAGCTTTTGATTCAAGCATCCTGTTTTATGTTAAGTGCAGTTGTTGAAGAGGTTAGTTCATAGTCTCTTTTTTTTATTTAAATCACACTGTTAAAGTAAAAAAGAGGTACATAATTACATAATAAGGAATTGAAAAACAAAAACAAAAACAAAACAAAAAAGTAGTATAGTAATAGTATCTTATAAAAGGCAATTTTTTTTCTCATTATTTAAAGCTGTAATTTATAGACAGGGAAATAGTATTTTACTAACAAAAGCATGGCCACTATTAATAATATAACACTAGGCAAATTCCAGAGCTAATTAATTAATTTGAAGAGATAATGAGCAAGTCAAGGGAAAACTTGGTCACATCGGATGGTACAAATTGATGTTTGCCATTGTCGTAAACACGATGCTAAATCTAAAAACTAAATATATACCAGTATAAGGAGAATACCATATATAAATTTTATTTCACAGGTCCATCTCTAACCTGTTCCAATTGTGCCCATTGGGCTTCTTGCTCCAGCTGGCATTGGAGACAAGGGTGTCATCTCTTTCTTCTCCACCTAATGAGTCAATGGTTATAAATGTTATATTATGTAATACTTATACAGTCGAACTTCAACTTACTAATGGCCACCTTTCCACAACGGCCACTTTTTTTGGCCAACGGTTCATAGATTGACTTTTGTTTAAACCTCTCTACAATAGCCACTTTCTTCTGTCCCCAAGGTGGCCATTATGGAGAGTTTCAACTGTACGTTATAAGTTCAAATATTTTATCCTTGGTTCAAATTTTAGTTCTGGGGTATGGTCTCTTAATGTTGGATAATGAACTTGGAACAAAGAAAAATAAAAAACCAAAGATAAAATCAACTACAATATATAACTTATACCTTCCATTTAATGTAAAAATGATTTTCAAAGTTTTCTTATTCACGCATAGGATGCAGAGTGCATCACTGTGGGTTTTGATTCCAACATTTTTACTTTGAATATAAAAATTACAGAGAAAAAGGTTATGGTGGATTCGGTGTTTCTTCAGGTTTAGTACTTTCAAAACAAGGAATCACTCAACACAGCTTCTTGGATAAATTTCTTAAACTCAAAAAGCCCTTAGAAAGAATACATATAGAACTGATTGGGTTGGCAAGATCAAAATCAGCGCACAGAATGTTTGCTTAAGTTAACACAATAAAATATCCTCCCTCTTTACTCAAAGGGGGAACTACTATAGTTATGTTACTATTGTACCTTGACTATTTCCGAGTTAGGGTCATATTTATCAAGGAGATCCTTTGCAGCTTTGTAGGTTTCTTTCTCCATTACTTCTTCAAGCTGAAGAACAAAGAGTTATCTTAATGTGTTATTGATTGTTACGAAATTAAAAGAAGAACCTCTGTCTAATATTATGCAGTAAAATGGAAATCAATTTAAAAAACAATAAATAAATAACACCTTGGTGAGATGACGACTCTTCAGATACAATGTTGACACATCAGTGTCTTTGTAAAACTTCTAAACACACTTTGATGTATTTGACAGTGTGGACATGGTTAACCAAGGAGAGAAAAACTGTGTGAAAGTTTCTTTCACTTCGCCCAAGCTGGTTTAAAAGTACTCAGACTGATGTTTTTAGAATATTTATTGCTTTGGTCCAAAAGGGAACAAAAAAGGTTTTGACACAGTTAATAAATGAAAGTAAAAGTATTTAAAAACTGGACGGTAACTTGACAGTTTCAGCGATCAAAAGAGCACAAGTGATACTTTCAAGACCAGGCAAAATTATTTGACAGAAATTAAGGTTTTTCAAAGTCAAAAATGCAGGCAGTTTTCAGATAAATTGGGAAAGTCAGCTAAAATTTAAACATTTTTAAGCTGGCAATGGTTTCTGTCCTTTAATCAACATTACTCTTGACTGTATACTTACGACTTGTCTTTTCTTGTCTTTTAACTCTTCCAGCCTTCTAGCTGTAGGAGACAAAAAATACTATTATAATATCATAGGTGATGTTAATGAGGAATTAAAACCGCGCTTTAAAGTCGCAATTAAACATTAAAGTGTACACTTTAATGTTTTAACGGTACCGTTGGGAAGGCATGCAGAGTCACAGTTCTACCGCTCAAAGTTTTAAAACGCCATGAATGAAGATGCTTTAGAAAACCTGAACACACAAGAGAACATCAAGAAGGATTCTAAACAGGTATTTTGCCTAAAAAGTCTGAAAAATTCTGAACTTTATAATTCAAATTTAAGGTCTAAAAATTTGAGAGAGTAGAGTTCTAGATCGATACGATCCAGGATAAACATGTAAAAATCCAAGATTGCTAACGTAATTCCTCACCCATGATATTAATAGGTAATCAAATGATATACTCGTGAAATTAGGGAATAATTTCACTTGCGTTTTGTCCAAATCCTAATAATTTCCCTCGCCTAAAGGTCCGGGAAATTATTACGATTTGGACAAAACACATGTGACATTATTCCTAATTTCACTTGTCACCATTTGATTACACATACTAATATACCCAAACAGAGGGCCCTTTTTAAAGCTGCTAAAAGGTCTCTAAAGGAAAACTTTTTTAATTGGGACAATAATGGCTGAAGACGAGGCAAAGATTGTGGCAATATTTTCATGTTTCATTTGGATACATGACAATATTAATGAAAGGTTTTAAACTTTTATACACTGGATTTTCTTGTTGATGAAATGAAGCTTTCAGTTAGACCCCTCACCAACAAATTTCACTCATACATCTAGTAGTCTTACTTCCAGAGGCAACTGGTCACTGAGTGATTCAAACTGGTAAGCTTAAGTTTTCTTTCTGGATAGATTAATTTCTTGGATACTACATACATGACTTTTAGATGTGATTTGAGAAATCACATCTAAAGAAACAACAAGAAGTAACAAGAAAGTTACTAACCATTCTTACTCATTCTGCTCACAAAGACATAATGAAGAACTCTTTTTAACAAATACACCCTGCAAAGGAGAAAATAAATTATTGTTATCATTTACTGTATTTGTGTTGTAGTTCAATTTTTCACAGGGTACAAATTGCCTTTGTACTGGTACAATTATTTTTAAACTGGTACAAAATTATTGATCCAGTACAAAATTTATTAAACTGGTCTCAGTATATCTGTTTTAAGAAATAGTCTTAGTTTACAGATATTTAGGGTTAGGGTTTGGGGTTAAGCATTCATTTTACTAATTAGGGTTACGCACTCATTTCACTGATAAGCGTTAAGCACTCATTTTACAGATAAAGGTTAATGGTTAGCTTTCAATTAACGTTTGGTACCCAATGCTTTTCCTCTCAGTCAAACAAACAACATTAGTATTAGCCCACAGTAATGACTTTTTTACTTCTTGAAACAGAAGGATTGAACGCATAGGTGATATCTTGTCGACACGATCAATTTTTAGAGAGTCAATTTCTCCAACTTTAAATTTCTAGGTTTGTTTTTTTTTTGGCTTTGGGTTACCATTTCATTGTTGTACTTTTCCTGTTTTTTTCAGACAGTTGATTGGAACCTGGTTAACAAAAATTAAACTGGTACTTAAAAATAATTGCACTGGTCCACAAACAATTTGTACCATGAGCAAAACCGAACTACAAAATTTACACTTCAACCGCTGCCTACCCATATTGAACCAAGGCACTTTTGCCACTAATGACATCAACATTTTCAACCCTCATATGGCAGGGCTTGAAAAAAAAAACATGCATTCCAGTGTGTCCTGTGAGCAAGCAGTTCTCACATTCTGCTTGGCAGTGGCCATTTCTTGCTCCTCTTAGTTAATGATTTTGTTAGAGGATGACTTGCCTATACCCTTACCCATTGGGCAAGTGAGCTTTAATAGTTACTTTCCCAGCAAGACAATGTTGTAATTAATTTTTTATCTCAGGTAAATTTTACTTTTCTTTTGTTTCAACACCATTAGCATGCATCAGTTAACATACCCAAACACAAAAGAGAGAGAAAAATTACCTGAGATAAAAATTAACTACAACAACAATCTACTTGTCCTGGACCAGATGGGACTTTTTTCAAGCCCTGAATTATGGACAACAGACAAATTTGACACCTAACTTGTGAAGGGGAATTATAGACCATTCAAACCATACTCAAACAAGTGCAATATCTCAGAGAAGAACAAACAAATTCCAATAAAAATCTTCTTTAACTATGCACCAAAGCTTTCTTGAATTAAAATTCATAAATTTTTGGCGGTTTTGCAAAGGCTGTCCCCCAAATTGAGCCTAATGATGCCCTTTAAAAGAAACACAGGGAACAAAAGCGAAACAGGTCGAGAGGAAAAAAAGCAAAAGGTAGAAGTGGGGGGGGGGAGAGAAAATTTTTGTCCATCAACTTTCTTGAAATTTTGCCTTTTGTGCAAGTGAGAACTTAGAAAGCTGTAATTCTGGACCAGAGCAAAAGCCAGTCTAGTCCTTTTCTGTTAAGCCCATTTTGGGTAGTTTTGCTACTTTTTGGTCAGATAGTTACCACAAAAATTTCCAGGGTGAATAGGATAATAATACTATTATAACAATTATTCTTATATTGCTAGACTTTCACTCAACTAAACAGGGACTGCCATTGGTTGATTCTTGGTCACATAGCCTTGACTAAAATCAAATGAAGGGCTTGGTATAGCCGAATGTTAAGTAACGTTTTGGGTGTATCGCGACTGTGATACATTAAGCAATGTACCCCGCTCGGGCTAAGGATAAGGCTAAGGGTGGAAAGTGGCGTGACAGAAGGCGGGAAAAATACTGCCAGGTCCTGCCAGTTTTTTTTTTCGTGAATGAACACAACAACGCAAACACGAATTTTTCCAGTTATCCCAGAAGTTCCCAGACGAAAAACAGCAGCTAGTGGAGGAAAAAAGATACAGATAATATAAGGAAAGTCCTTTCTAAATAATTTATTCAGTGGTTTAGAGAATTAAATTTGTGTTGTTATAAGTTAACCGAGTCATCTGTTTTGGTTCGCTCCGGTAAACATTATTCTTTGGTTGAAGTTGAAGTGAAAGTCTAGAAATATAACAAAACACTTCATGTCAGGTCCCTCGGGAAACTAGTTAGTTTTGTTTTCCCGAGAGTCCTGTTTTCCCAAGACGAAGTCGAGGGAAACATCAGGACTCTCGGGAAAACAAAACTAAATGCTTCCCTCAGGATCTGAAATTACGTGTACACTATACAGAATCAAACCCCTGATGAAAGTGTGTTTAATCTTAAGAATATAGTCTACTTACACAACAGGAAACACAAGAAGTGGAATTGAACGAACTGCTCTTGCTTTCCAAGACTTTGGAAAATCATAAAAATAACACACAAGAGCTGCCACAACATAGAGAACCTATCTCATCTCTTAATTCCTCGGTTACTTAAAGAAAGCTTCGACAAGACAGGAGACGACTGAACTAAGATTCCGAAACTCTAGGACATTTCTTTTCTCGTTCTTTAATAGAAAACAATAAAAAAATATTCATAGAAAGGCATTGGAGGGGGCAATGAGAGCTAGAAAAACTGTGGCTTTAAGACGATTCGTTAGTTTTACACTGAGTATCTCTTAATGGCATAACAAGATGGCCGCCATGGAAAAAAGCATCTGAAGTAACATTATTAAAACGAAGTTGACTGAAGAGAAACGCTATTGGAATTTTCACTTGCAGTTGTTTCTTGCCGAGATTAGACTAAATGTGTTGGCAATGTGAATAACATAAGCAGTATGCATGTTGCTGAGTTCGACTTCCTCACGGAGAGCCTCGATGCCTGGCCCCTAGGCAACATTATTCCAAGTAGCCTATGCAGTTCTGGTGACATGCTCCATGCGAGTTTTTGATTTTTTTTCTTGTTCCTTGTCTTGCAGCTCTTCATCTTGGATACGTAAACAAAAAACACTGACCACAAACGTCTGGAAAGACGATGTACACACAGAGCCTGGCAAGTTAACTGCCATGAGTTAACACAATGGCACAGCATCTGGACTTGCAACAAGAAGGTCATAGGTTTGATTCCTTTTTCTAAGTCACCTGTATTGCTTACTGAAGAAATATCACTCTCAAAATAGCACTCTCCTCCTCTATATATGTAATAATATTCAAGCGTAATTATTGCAAACTAGCCCTTGATGAAAATTTGTTGGCAACAGACATCGGGAGGCAAATGACTTTTTGCTCTTCTTAATTTTTACCTTCCTGAATATTCATTTCCTCACTAGCAGCACAGAAGAGCTTTAAAATATTTCACTTTCAATAATCATATACAAAAAAAATGTATTATTTCCAAAACATTTTTATTTAAGTAGTAATGAATTGCTCTACCTGTGACAAACTAAAAGGAGTTACTACATAGAAAACACAGTTTAAAATGATTTGGAAAATCTACAACTGTACACCTCTGCTTTGCAATCATATTCATTGGCATTTTGACATTTTCAAAGAACATTACTGTTTTTTTCTTCAAAATGAAATTTGTGTACTTTGTGAATTTCAAAATAAGTAAGCTCATGCATCAATATGACCAGGCGATCAGTGAAACTTAATTCAGAATATTACAAGACCACAGTTAAAAGTCGTATAGACCTCTGACAACATCGATTTTGTGACCAATAGTTGCTCATAAAATTTGGCGTAAGTTATTAATAATTTAATTCTTTTTATAACAATTATTTTTTGTCTGGCAAAATAAACGGGTAATTTTCGACAAGCCCATTCTTAGTACTGGTGTTATGTATATGTATCTAAGAGCACTTTAACTGAAAAGTCAAACCTCAGCTTCAACTACTACAGACTTGTGCCGTTGATTGTAAAATAATTTAGCTTCCTCATTGATTAAAAATTTTGGTAATTATTATTCTGGCTATGGGAGCACATTTAACCTTTGTGAAAATTATCCAACAAGGCATCATAATGCTTAGAAAAATGGCTTCTACAGCACTGATTTAACTCCGTTCATACAACAAAGAAAAACCAGGAAGCAAGAAATATTCAAGCTAAGGTTGGTTAAACTTGCACAAGTGCGAGATCTACCAAAATAAACGTAGCAAATCAACATATTTCCAACTGCATAAAACCTCTACCTCTAATAATAAAAATTCTCACCTTCTCTAGGACCTCTAAAACTTCCCCTAATGACTCTTTTTTCTATAAAACAATAAGACGTTTACCGTGATTTAATAAGCTTTTGTAATGAAAGCTGCGATCATACGGGTGCGATCGAGGTAGTGGTTGTACTTTTACCACTTAGCATCAATCGAATGTTTCTCAACAGCTCAGTTAAACGCGGCAACAGCCCAGAAGGCAAAACTCAAACACTAACCCTCCATCTTGAGAAAACAATGCCCATTA